GCGAGTCTATCGTGCATCCCGCCAGGATGATCGCCGACACGATGTTGAGCTCCGCGAATTTCGCCTTGACTTTGGGTGTCAGGTGACCACGATAGGAGTTGAGCACCAGCATGGCGCTCCAGCTCTGCAATCCGAATTTCGGTTTCAGGAACGGCACCACGCCTGCATCAAGCCACTCGATGACGCCTGGGGCCTCCATCCATCCGTTAGCTTGGCAGCCGACCACGACATGTGCATTAAAGCAAGTGGTGGATAGATTTTAGTTTTGTTTTTTCCCTCGAAAACACGCGCATTCGCAGCTTCTTACCGTCCGGGAAGTCGCCCTTTTGGAGGGTCCTTGCGCTTGAAAAACACCCCACGCCTTCAACTTCTCACCCGTCGCCGTGCACGCCAACATCACAATGACTCTCTCTTTCTGGTAACCACCGCTGCGGATGGGCACCGACTTTACGCCTGTCTGCTCCACACTGGTAGTCGCCGGCAGCTCCAACTACAAAGGGGTCTGGTCGACATTGATGATGTACCGATTGTCGATGTCGTACTCGTGGCGTGCCAAAATTCCTTGCATTGCTTCACCACATCTGCGCACGGGGAGGGAGGGACGGTTAAAAGGGCGGATGAGTACCGCTACAGATAAACATATATGGGCAAATGAAAGTACAGAGATACAAGATAAAAATTCACGATAGGATGATAGTTGCACGGACAAGAACTTACGCTGCTATGTCTTTCGCGCCACCTTTTTTTTCATGCGCACGGTGAGGTTCCACCACTTGCGGAACCGCTCCGTCCAGCGCTGACTTGCCTTCCACTTGACGTCCGGGAACAACACCTTCATCCCCTCTTTTGACCAGTCTTGCAGCCGGCCGACTGATACTGCCACACCGTGGCGTCGCCAGTCCAGGAGTTGGGCGTACACCTTTAACTCCATGGGTCTCTATTAGGAAGACCTTCCGCGCCCATGAAGTCGACACCGTGCGCTGTGTGCAGCCTTGAGCTCCTCCGCTTGGTTTTTCCACTCCGTGAAGCATTTGCAGTGTATGCTGAACTCCCGCACGACCTCACTTATCGATGCTGCAAGCTCCAGCCGAACAAGCCACTTCAGTTTCTCCTGGGCAGTGTAGCGCTACCGTTTGTGTTGAGTCGGCTTGTGCCTGGGAGAGGGGGGGCGGGCATCTCGGTTCTTAGAGGAGGGGTGGGGTAGTTTTTTGTTAATCGGCGGATACGTTGGTATCTGCATCTTCTCGCGTGGTGCGTCGCGCCACCAAGATTCCACACCGTGATCATTCGCGTCTGTTGCAACACGATCTGGGAACACGTCCTCTTTGGCGCCCTCTTCCCCGTCGATTCCACCGTCGCCTCCACCGTCGCCTCCAGCATCGCCGTCGCATGTGGGTTGTTTATCGGCAGCCACGTTCATCGTCGGCGCCCACAGCCGACTCGTCCGACGTGCAGGCTTCAAGATTTCCCCACTGCGGTGCAGTCGGCGGAGCATCAATTCGCTTATTGGGAGCCTTGGGTGTGTCCGGTTCAGACAGCCCACTCGTCAAAAGTGGCTGGCAAATATAGTTGGAGCACGGGCCGTTGGTGAGAATTCGCGTAAAAAACGGGAGGACCCTGAGACTGGAGACTGGAGACCCTGAGACTGGAGGTGCCAGTTCTAGGGTGCTGCTGGTGGTGGAGCTGGTCTGGAGGAGCTGGCATTAAGGGTTCTAGAGCTGCTGGAGGTGCTGGAGCTGCTGGGGGGTGGTGGAGCTGCTGGTGCTAGTGGCACTGCACAGCCCCGCCTGTTCCTTGCTCCACCGTCTCCGTCGTCTCAGCCACCGTCTGCCTCTGTGCTTCGTCAGGTTCTTAGTCTCCCTTCGTCTACTGGTCTTCCGTTACAGCCTGGCTCACCGCTGCCTGCTCCTTCTCCTTACACTGAGCAGACGGGGGGTCTTACTAAGCGTCGTGAGCCTACGTCGCGTCCTACCTCGTCTGTCCGTCCTGGTCATTCCGGTAGTCGTGTTCCTCGTTCACGTCAGCCAGCTGTAACCAGCACCCACCTCGTAGTCTGTCGTCCTTCCTCTCCTCCGCAGCGTGTTCCCCTGTCGTCCCCTCCTACGTCTTCTCTGCCTACCGTTCCTCAGCCTGAGTCTGACCGCACCCGTGCTGCTCACCCTACTGTCACGCGTCTGCTCGCCAGAGTTGTCACTGACCCGTCGTTTGATTCTGCTGCTGCGTCTGCCTTAGTCGCTGAGCTTGTTGACTTTGCTGCTACCTGTCGTCTGGACTATGCCGCTAGTCTGGTTGCTGAGTCTGAGTCTGTCTATCCTCCTTCCGTCGGGGGTGAGTGTGCTCTTGGCACGAACGTCCTTGAAGACAGGCAGGAGAACCTTGAGTGTCTTGCACCCGCTGCGCCTCATCTCGTTTCCATGCTACTTGCCCCTGAGGGAGACCCGAATGCTCCATACATCCCAACCCCGCGCTCTTACGCTTAGGCGATCGTGGGTGAGTACTCTTCTCAGTGGCAGACAACCATGGACGCAAAGATGGCATCCTAGAAGTTCACAGGCACCTACGTCGACGAGGTTCCCCCTCCTGGGGCAAACATCGTCAGTGGCATGTGGATTTTCAGGGTGAAGCGACCGCTAGGTTCTCCGTCTGTCTTCAAGGCTCGTTACGTTGTTCGAGGCTTCAGTTAGTGGGAGGGAGCCGACTTCTTCCAGACCTTCTCCCCCACCCCAAAGATAACCACTCTTCGGATGCTGCTGCACATAGCCCCTCAGCGCGACTACGAGCTTCACTCTCTTGACTTCAGCACAGCTTTCCTGCAGGGCAGCCTGCACGAGGAGATCTGGCTGCGCCGCCCACTTGGCTTCACTGGGTCGTTTCCTCTTGGTACCCAGTGGAGCCTCCGGCGGCCAGTCTACGGTCTCTGCCAGGGGCCCCGTGAGTAGCACAACACACTGAGGACTACACTTGCGGCTCTTGGGTTTGCTCCTTCTACAGCCAACCCGTCGCTGTTTCTGCACAACGACACCTCTTTGCTGCCGTTCTACATCCTCGTGTACGTCGACGACTTGGTCTTTGCCACTGCTGACATTGAGGCTCTCGCTCTGGTGAAGTCGGAGCTACAGAAGAGACACACGTGCACAGACCTGGGTGAGTTGCGCAGCTACCTTGGCTTGCAGATCACCCGGGGACAGAGCACGCCGCACCATCATACTGACTCAGTCACACATAGTGCAGCAGGTCTTTCAGCGCTTCAACTTCACCTGGTCCTCGGCATAGGCCACTCCTCTGGCGACAGGTCACTCGCTCTCTGCTCCACCTTCGGACGAGTCCGTAGAGCCGAGTGGTCCTTACCCTGAGCTAGTGGGCTGTCTCATGTTCCTGATGACCTGCACTCGTCCTGACTTCGCGTACCCTCTTGGCCTTCTGGCTCGCTACGTGGCTCCTGGTCGGCACCGAAAGGTGCACATGGATGTTGCTAAGAGGGTACTACGCTACTTGTGTAGTACATCGGGCACGGGACTCGTGCTTGGAGGACGGAGCGACGTTGTCCTCACTGGGCACTCAGACGCTTCTTGGGTTGACGACCAGGCTACGCAATGGTCGTCAGAGGGTTATACCTTCAGCCTTGGCTCTGGTTCAGTTTCTTGGCGTTGTATACGCTCGTCTTCAGTTCTTAGCTTCAGTTGTGAGGCTGCGATCTACACCACAGCCATGGCTGCACAGGAGTTACGCTGGCTTACCTACCTGCTGACGGACCTGGGAGAGGGGCCTCGTTCTTCTCCAGTGCTGTACGTCGACAACAAGGTCACCATTGCGTTGTGTCAGGAGCACAGACTAGAGCAGAGAACGAAGCACATCGCTCTGCGTTACTTCCTGGCTCGAGAGTCGCAGTAGTGTGTTCAGCTTCGTCTTGCTCACATGGCCACTCGGGATAACACTGCTGATATATTCACCAAGGCACTGGGGTTTTTTTATCTAAGTAAATTACTCTGTTTCTCTCAAAATCAGAGTGGTTTTTAGGGGGTTACTCTCATGTGTCTAGGTAATTTTTTTGGATAAGTTTTCTCTGATTTGTCAGGGTTCTGATTTTTGCTACTGTGAGAGACCAGTGTATATTTGTGGCAGATGTACTTTTCTCTGTACAGGGTACAGGCATTTCAACCGACCCCCCCCACCCTCCCCCAATTCCTCGAAGATAAGTAAATATAAGTATGTAATTTATGGTAAGTTCGTAGTACAATGCTCCCATCTTTCACTAGAAGTGCAGAAGGCCTGGATTCAATACTTGATAGGACACTCAGAGTTGAAAAATTTGGTACATTGGGTGCTTACAGTATATTTATCATAAGTTAAGTTTTTTCTAACAAATCAGAGTAACGCTCATAATGAACCCTGAATTTCGGAGTTCTCTTGAAAACAGCTCTGGAAATCCGAGTAATGAAAATAAAAAAGAAGCCCTGCCAAGGCACTTCCGTTTGGTGATCATCAGCGTTTCTGCACTTTGTTAGGCCTTGTGCCCACTTTTCCTCACTTTGCTTGTAGTGTGATATATCTATATATATACCTGCATGCTTGTTCTGCTAAGTAGAGATCACTGTACTGCTGTTGTTGCACATATGCCTCTGCATGTGAACTGACCTTGTCGCCCTTGGCTTGTGCTTAGTGTGTGTAGTGACGTTGTGATCCACCCTGAGCTTGCTTTATTTCTCTTGACTAGTCTTGTGACCCATTGCTCTCCCCCACTTTGCTTATGGGAGTATGTTAAAATATATATATGCTATATATGTTTATACTGTAGTAAGATAGCCAATATAGGGTACTACCCTGTTCAGGGTTTCATACTTGTACCCAACCCTTTCATAGTTCATTCATTCCTGCTAGATTCTAACAACACTAGCTCTGGGACTGGCTGCCATTCTGCTCCATAGCAAACCTTCTCCAATCTGAGAGCACCGATATCGGCAATGCCTCCTCGCCCATGCGCCCTTGCAGCGGCAGGGAAGTTACATGTTAGTTCTTGCAGCGGTGATGCTCTGCATCATCCCGTCTCTGATCTGGGCAGCAATATCCGCCGCTGCGCCCGGCCCGTGCGGCACAAAGATGGTGGACGACCGGTTGTTGGCGCCGATGTCCCTCATGGTGTCGAAATACTGCGTCAGCATGACCTGCAAGCATATAACAAGAGAGCACGGGACAAAACACAAAGGATGTTGGCGCCGATGTCCCTCATGGTGTTGAAATACTGCGCCAACATGACCTGTGGGAGGGAGAGGTGGGGGGTAAAGGGCGGTGGGGGATGAGGAGAGCAGAGAAAGATGACGAGGGAGGATGCGTCGCGAATCACGACCGGATGTTTGGCGCCGATGTCCCTCATGGTGTCAAAAAAATGGTGAACATGACCCGTGTGGGGAAGAGGACGAGAGCAGAGCAACATGGCATATTCTTGAGTCAGTCTAAAAGTCATAACACTTCATGACATAACCGGTTATTGGTACCAATGTCCCTCATGGTGTCGACTGACTGCGATAGCATGACCTGAGGCAAGGACGGGCACGGGGAGGGCAGAAAAGGCTGTGATGAGAGAGGATGTACCTAGTTTTGAGACGTCTTAAGACGTAGTTTTGAGTGCCTCAAGATATCGTTTTGAGATGTCTCAAGATTAAGACGTCTCAAACCCAGAACAGGCTGTGATGAGGGAGGATGTATCACGGCACAATAATCGCACGAATGTACATCTTTTTGCAGGATGCATCTCCTTGGCACGAATGTGCCTCTTTAGTCAAAGACTCAAAAAGCATCTCCAACACTCGCACATTCACCCACTCACTACCACCCGACCTCTCACCATGGTCAGCACGCCCTTGGGTGTGGTGCTGATAAAGTTGTATTTGAAGACGTATCAAAACACTACCACCCGACCTCTCACCATGGTCAGCACGCCTTGGGTGTGGTGCTGATAAAGCTGTATTTGAAGACGTATCAAAACACTACCACCCGACCTCTCACCACGGTCAGCACGCCCTTGGGTGTGGTGGTGGGCACCTGTTCCCAGCGCCTGGCACTGTTACATCATTACCTAGGTCTTACCTGCACTGCACGGGCACCCATCTCACTCACTCGTCCAGCACTCCCACTCCTCCCGCCCTCCGCCCACCCTCTCACCATATCCAGCACATCTTCCTTGGATGTGGTGCTGGCATCATTGCCCCGCGCCTGCACCGTTGCACTACCCAATACATACGTGCAAAGCCTGCAATACATGCCTGCACCATCGCTCTATCCAATACATGCCTGCACCATCGCTCTATCTAATACATGACCTGGCACCATCGCTCTATCCAATACATTGCCTGCACCATCGCTCTATCCAATACATGCCTTGCACCATCGCTCTATCCAATACATGCCTGCACCATCGCTCTATCCAATACATGCCTGCACCATCGCTCTATCCAATACATGCCTGCACCATCCGCTCTATCCAATACATGCCTGCACCATCGCTCTATCCAATACATGCCTGCACCATCGCTCTATCCAATGACATGCCTGCACCATCGCTCTATCCAATACATGCCTGCACCATCGCTCTATCCAATCATGCCTGCACCATCGATCTATCAATACATGCCTGCACCATCGCTCTATCCAATACATGCCTGCACCATCGCTCTATCCAATACATGCCTGCACCATCGCTCTATCCAATACATGCCTGCACCATCGCTCTAGTCCAATACATGCCTGCACCATCGCTCTATCCAATACATGCCTGCACCATCGCTCTATCCAATACATGCCTGCACCATCGCTCTATCCAATACATGCCTGCACCATCGCTCTATCCAATACATGCCTGCACCATCGCTCTATCCAATACATGCCTGCACCATCGCTCTATCCAATACATGCCTGCACCATCGCTCTATCCAATACATGCCTGCACCATCGCTCTATCCAATACATGCCTGCACCATCGCTCTATCCAATACATGCCTGCACCATCGCTCTATCCAATACATGCCTGCACCATCGCTCTATCCAATACATGCCTGCACCATCGCTCTATCCAATACATGCCTGCACCATCGCTCTATCCAATACATGCCTGCACCATCGCTCTATCCAATACATGCCTGCACCATCGCTCTATCCAATACATGCCTGCACCATCGCTCTATCCAATACATGCCTGCACCATCGCTCTATCCAATACATGCCTGCACCATCGCTCTATCCAATACATGCCTGCACCATCGCTCTATCCAATACATGCCTGCACCATCGCTCTATCCAATACATGCCTGCACCATCGCTCTATCCAATACATGCCTGCACCATCGCTCTATCCAATACATGCCTGCACCATCGCTCTATCCAATACATGCCTGCACCATCGCTCTATCCAATACATGCCTGCACCATCGCTCTATCCAATACATGCCTGCACCATCGCTCTATCCAATACATGCCTGCACCATCGCTCTATCCAATACATGCCTGCACCATCGCTCTATCCAATACATGCCTGCACCATCGCTCTATCCAATACATGCCTGCACCATCGCTCTATCCAATACATGCCTGCACCATCGCTCTATCCAATACATGCCTGCACCATCGCTCTATCCAATACATGCCTGCACCATCGCTCTATCCAATACATGCCTGCACCATCGCTCTAATCCAATACATGCCTGCACCATCGCTCTATCCAATACATGCCTGCACCATCGCTCTATCCAATACATGCCTGCACCATCGCTCTATCCAATACATGCCTGCACCATCGCTCTATCCAATACATGGCTCTATCCAATACATGCCTGCACCATTGCTCTATCCAATACATGCCTGCACCATTGCTCTATCCAATACATACCTGCACCGCCCAACACACCCTCTCCCACTCACCACCGCCCAGCCTCTTCACCATGACCAGCACGTCCTTGGGTGTGGTGCCTGCCTGCCGGGCACTTGCTCCAAGAACCCCACCCACCCAGCACGCTGGCTCAACCAACCAGCCCTCTTCCCTCGTCTCACCATGCATCCCCTCGTCTCATCATGCATCCCCTCGTCTCATCATGCATCCCCTCGTCTCACCATGCATCCCCTCGTCTCACCATGCATCCCCTCGTCTCACCATGCATCCCCTCGTCTCACCATGCATCCCCTCGTCTCACCATGCATCCCCTCGTCTCACCATGCATCCCCTCGTCTCACCATGCATCCCTCGTCTCACCATGCATCCCCTCGTCTCACCATGCATCCCCTCGTCTCACCATGCATCCCCTCGTCTCACCATGCATCCCCTCGTCTCACCATGCATCCCCTCGTCTCACCATGCTTCCCCTCGTCTCATCATGCATCCCCTCGTCTCACCATGTCTAACACGTCCTTGGGTGTAGTGCGCAGCACTTGTTCCGAGAACCCCAGCACGCTGTCCCTAAGCCCGTCCACGATAGCCTGTTTTTGAGTCGACTCAAAACTAGGCCCACCATGTCAAGCACGTCCTTGGGTGTAGTCCCAGGCACTTGCTCCCGGGCACTTGCTCTGAGAAGCTCAGAACGCTGTCCATCCCTTTAAACCGAGTTTCAGGCCACAACCACCTCATCCTATCCCGCAGATTTCACTGCCCATGCCCACCCTAGCGCCTCTCACCATGTCCAGCACGTCCTTGGGTGTAGTCCCCGGCACTTGGTCCGAGAACCCCAGCACGCTGTCCCTCAACCCGTCCACGATAGCCTGTCTCTGCCTCGCCACGCCCACGCCTGCCAGGTACTTGGCCTCTGCCTCTCCTTCTGCCTTCTTCACCTGCCGTGCAGAGTAGAAGCAGCATGGGTGTGTCGAGTGAGTGCAGAGACAGATACACCGATCCGATGTTTCACGATTATTTATTGCTTCTGGTCCGGTCTGATCATATCAGATCAGATCAGATCAGATCAGATCAGATCAGATCAAATCAGAACAGAACAGAACAGATCCTGAGACGTGTGTAATCACCAGTCCATTGCTCACAAGGAGCAACAACTCGTTCCGCAATGCGTGAGAAAAAAACTGTGAGACACTTGGATCAGCAAAAAAGGATGTTTAGTCAGTCAGATCAGGACTCGGCGGCAATGTGTGAAAATAAAGGAAGCGGACGGATACTGCGATGAGTCGTGTTTTGAGTCGACCCAAAACTCGGCAACGGGTGGAAGAAAGAAAGTAGGCGGATACATACTGCGATGCAGTAAAATATTGCCTTTTGAAGTACATCAAGGAGCGATGCGATATTGCATCGCTAGAAATCGCATTACCTGCAGAATTTTCTCGGCTTCTGCCTTCTCCTGTGTGGCCATGCGTATGCGCTGGGCTGCAGGGGGGATTGGGGAATATGGTGTGCGAGTGAGTAATGTAACGTAACAGCAGAAGGAGATAGGTGCACCGTACACGTACCTCTACACTCTTATGCTAATCTACAAATGTGAAAGTCCACCCTTATTTTTGCCATTCACTCAATGGTAAGCTCCACAACCCACTATGAATGTCTGCACTACATGCACATCCTCATTAAAGTAGATGACTTTTACACAGGTATGCAAACAAATGTGAGAATCATCGACACTCTTGCCCGCAATAATCTCATTCATGGTGGCCTTGACCCGGTTGTCCGGCGCCACATCCACTATCAGCGATTGCACATTCACGTATGTCCCGGCTTCACATGCAAATTCACATTTGGCACATACAATACCAACACTCTCACCGGCATTGATCTCGTTCATGGCAGCCTTCACCCGATGGTCCGGTCCAGCTCCACATCCATTATCAGGTTCGGCACATTCACGTATCCACATTCACATTTGCCACATACGTTAATACCAGCACTCTCACCGGCATTAATCTCGTTCATGGCGGCCTTCACGCGATGGTCTGGCTCCACATCCACTATCAACGTTTGCACAATGCGGTACCCGTACGTCCTCATTGCCTGCTCGTTACAACAGTGGTTTTATGAAGCAGGGAGCATGCGCATGGAAGAGTCAAGACAAATGCGTTTCACGACTTCCATGCACGTACAGTTCGATTCAAACGCGTTCATTCTCAACTCCAAGAGCAAGTGACGCACATAGATGAGTGGTTTCATTCTTCCCCTCACCTTCTCGAGCTCCTCCTCCACCCCACTCGAGTCCACTGCATGAGCGATCTCGTTCTTCACCTCAAACACACGGTCCAAATCCATCTTAGGCACGCTCACGTGCACCTCTCCCTCTCCCCCTCCCCTCCCGACCCTCACTCCCCACTCACCTTGTCAAGCTCCTCTCCACGGTATGAGCAATCTCGTTCTTTCACCTCGAACACACGGTACTCTGCAGTACGCTTGCACGCACCTCCGCTGCCCTCCCCCCTCCGCTGCGTCCCCCCCTTCCCCCCCTCTCCCCAGCCCCACCTTCCCCTCACCTTCTCAAGCTCCTCCTCCACTGTGTGTGCGATCTCGTTCTTCACCTCAAACACACGGTCCAGATCCATTTTAGGCACGCTCGCGCGCACCTCCTCCTCTGCCCCTCCCCTGCTCCTCCCCACACCCCCACTCCACTCACCTTCTCGAGCTCCTCCTCCACTGTGTGCGCGATCTCATTCTTCACCACCTTCCATCAAACTTCGCCACGAACCCCTCCCCGCACCTCCACTCTCACGCCCCACCACACCCCCACCTTCTCAAGCTCCTCCTCCACTGTATGAGCAATCTCGTTCTTCACCTCAAACACACGGTCCAGATCCATCTTGGGCACACTGGCGCGCACCACTGCCGGGAAGAGCAAGGAGAGGGCGGAAAGGAACGGGGAAAGCGGGAATTGGAGGAGAGGAGAAGAATGAAAGATCTCGCTTTTCATCTCAAACACACGGTCCGGATCCATCTTGGGCACACTGGCGCGCACCACTGAGAGGGGAGCAACAGGAGGGGGGAAGAGGGGAAAGGGGAATTGGACTGGAGGGGAAGGATGAGCAATCTCGTTCTTCATCTCAAATACACGGTCCAGATCCATTTTGGGCACGCTCGCGCGCACCACTGCGGGGTGTAGGTGAAGGGGGGAACAGAAAATAGCGAATTAAAAACACGGTGCGAAAGCAAACTCCGAAGACTAAAACAATGACAAGAAGTACATCATAATCGCAATGTTTCAGATGCATCGGCCACAGTAGATCGCGAACGCTGCAGCACTCACCGTCGAAGACGTATGATCGAATCTGCGCCTGGGGATCCTGCAGCTTGTAAAAGGCGTCCTCGATCTGCTCGCGAATCGCCTGGTACTGTATCGATGCGACCACAGTGACGAACACGTTGTCCTGAAGCGGAAAAGCCAAAAACGGGGATACAAAGAAAAGGCAAAGAGTGGTGAGGGTCCTGAGCTTGTACAACACGTCGTCAATCTGCTCGCAAATCGCCTGGTACTGTATCGACGCGACTACAGTGAGGAACACGTTGCCCTGAAGCGGGGAACGGGTGAATAAAGATGACATGACGAAACGGCAGCAGTATGAGGGGACACAACTATGGCACCACGATGTTTAGAACTGAGTTTCAAAAGTATTTTGTGACTGGCGGTGACGTCGTTCCTTGCTGGCGTCGTTCCTTGCCATGATTGGTGGTGTAAATATTCGAAGCGACACTTTGAACCTCGCATCATGAGCTTGCGGCACGCAGCACCGTGCCGCGAGCTCATGAGGCAAGGTTAAGATTTCGCTTCGCAGTGGCAGCCTTCATCCCCTTTCACCGACCTCCCCTCTCTCGAAAGCACCGTAGCACGGTTACCAGCCTCACCTTGGTTTTGGTTTCGCAGCGCGCGTCGAGTTGGCGCACGCGGAGGCTCCTGACATGAGCTCCGCGTGGTGGTAGCAGTAGCACCACGGCACGCAGTGACAGCCCTCTTCCCCTTCCCTCAACTTACCCTCTCCCGTAAACACCGAAGCACAACGGTAGTACTAGCAATACCTTGGTTTTGGTTTCGCAGCGCACGTCAAGTTGGCGCACGCGGAGGCTCATGAGCCCCGCGGGCCGGTAGCAGCAGCACCACGGCACGCAGTGGCAGCCCGGGTCGAGCGCCTTCACGAACCGCCCAAAATGTTCCACCATGGCCACCGTTGATTGGTCCACCTGGAGCAGGCCGAACATCTTCTCCATGCTGGCGGCCGCGTTCTAACCACAAAATAAAATATATAAAAAACTACAACCCGTATAACAATTAGTGTAGAGAGAAGATATGTGACGAATCTAGAGATAAGCTGATAGATATGAGCCGGCGCTAGTGACGGTCGTGCGCTTCGGCAAAAGAAACGCTGTTTCGCTTCGGGTTGAGGAGGTGAGGACTTCTCAGCAACGATTCAAGACTTGCAATCGGGGTGTTGGTGGTATTTGAAGCTTGCCCAAAAAAAGAAATGCTCAGAACTCCGTGGGGGGACTGAAGTCGGAGGAAGTTGAGTGGGCAGAAAGAAGGGGTTGCTGCGGAAGAAGGGGGGGGGGGGGTGGGGGGGGGTGCCTGCGCGCACCGCATTGTTGGACAAAAGTGGAAGGGGGACACAACCTGGCGCTGATTAGGGCGCGTGTGTTCTGTTTAGAAGTTCAAAATTAAGTTCGAACTTTGGGTGGTTACCCTATTCGCTAGTTTCGCGAAGGGTGCTTCGCGAACCAAGCATTGTATGGGCTCTGCAAAAGTTCGAGTTTGAAATATGAAGTTGACTCGAGTCGGAGGCGGGAACGCGCATGCGCACGTTCATGCGAGCGTGTGTGATTTGCAGCACGTACGAACAGCTGGCGAAACGGGCGAGCGCTTCGTCAATGCATGAAGTTGCACAACGAAGACACCCCACAATTCGTGCACACAGTGGTAGCCACGTGTCCAGCATCGTGGCACGTTCGAGCACGATGTGGCAACGCGTCCCGCCCGTCTTGACGTCAGTCAAAGAAACTCCCGCCCTTGCCCAATCCACGTCCCCCGCACCAAATGTCTTTGAAATCCTGTGGGAGTGGAAAGCGGACCAGCTGTAGGGTTGTCATGTTGGGCGAATGACGAGTATACAAGGTGTTGCCACGGGAGCTATTTGTACCCTGGTTACACACTCGACGCGGAAGGTGAGTTGGAGCTCTAGGTCCTTGTAAACCGAGGCGCAAAATGTTGACGTGGCGCACTGTCAAGACGAGCGAACCGGGTAACCTATGATGTTGACGTGCGGCTCGGCTCGTTTTTACAAGTTCGAATGTCGGGGTTCGACCTTGTATGTGTGTGTGATTTTTTACAGTGTGGTAAGCCCGATGTTCGAACTTCGATAGAAGGAAATTCGAACTTCTTTCTTTGTAAGTTCAAAACTAAATTTCGCCCTCAAAACATAAACTTTTACAAATTTCAAAGACCTCACGCGCCCTTAGAGAAAGGGGGAAGTGAGGGTCAAGTTGGAGGAAAAAGGGGAAATGGCGTTCTCACACCTGGGGGAACATGGGAGGTGAGGGGAAAACGCCTCTCCCCGCCGTGCCGCGTCTCGTTTGCTGATTCGTTCCTGCATCTCACAGCGCGACGCGATTTTTGGCCCAGCTGCGCACGCAAATATAGCCTCGCAACCCCCCGGTGCATGGCATGCGAAGCTCGCCACGCGTCGGGTGTAACGAAGAACGTGGGGCTCGATGCGAGGTGAAAGGAACCTCCATTTAGGATGCCTTTGCTGGGGTTGACAGCTTTGCCAGCGAGGGACCAACACGCCGGTAACGGGATGCCAGCTATTACAAAAATAACTGCAATAAACTACGGTATGTCAGAGAAATTTTACTAGCAAAGACGAGTGTAACTGTATCATGTGTTTAAGAATGTTAGCTATTACAAAAATAACTGACAAAGTAACTGTATCATTTATTTACGAATTGATAGGGTTGACAGCTTTTCCATAAAGGGACAAACACGCGGTAACAGAATGCCAGCTATTACAAAAATAATTGACAAAGTAGGTGTATCATTTATTTACGAATGTGACTGTTAGAGAAATATGTCAGAGAAATTTCACTAACAAAGACGAGTGTAGCTGTATCATGTATTTACGAATGTTCGATTTTGCCATCATGGATGACCCTCCACGAATGGACAGCCAGCACCACATCAGACGCCTGCCTGACGTGGACTATCTTGGAAGCCAGGGAAAACGTGGCAGGACGAATCACCTGGATTACCGAGCAACTCAACTGATATATTTCGGAGCTGCTACTATCGAGTACTATCGCTCCACATGAAATAGCAGCCCATTCTAGTCGTCCCTCGAGGAGCAAGTAACTTTGTTGTAGGTCGTCGCGACGCGCAGGTACAATCTGGAGAGCTGATGTCACCAGAATAAGGCTGTGACCTTCGTATCCACTTGTCAGCTCCGACAACATCTGATAGCGCGTCTGACAGCGTCCGACAGGGTCGTCTTAGCTTTTTCCTCTGGCAGCGTCTTTTTCGCCGGCAGCCTCTTTCCGCAAAGCCCGTGTCAATGTCTCCTTCCGTCAATCTAGAACGCGCCTCGGCAACCTCCCGATACGTATATTCCGGAACCGCGCTCGACTTAGTAGAAATTCGCGCTTCCTCCGTTACGATCTCCAGCCTCTCCAGTCCGACCTTGCTACTTAATCCGCCCTCGTTAGTTAATCCACGCCGGATCAATGGCGCTCCGCCAATCGTTCCGCGGGCAGCATTCTTCGGCCGGCCATTGCTTCGCGAACCAATCAGCGGACGCCACGTGTCCCTTCCTGCAAAAGAATCGTCGGCAGCGCGAGGCAGACGGACGTCTCGCGTGAATTCCGCACGGGCGGCAGCAGGAGGCGCGCCGCAGCAGCCGCCGCAGCAGCCGGCGGACGGATCGGCGGGAGAATGGCGGCGGCGATGGGAACCGTCGGAGCGATTCGCGCTGTCGTTTGCGAGCCAGATGGGCGACGACATGGAGAAAACCGAGGCGCAGGTGGGTTGTGAAACCGAAGCGCAGTTTGACAACGGCTAAGAGATGTAAATTTAAGGGAAAGGTCAAGCCATGCGTGCTCTCGAACACGCGGGAAAAGGGCCGGAATTTCCCCGATAAAACCCCGAACCCCGTTTCGCAGTGCCCCTGTCGTTTATTACCCTATCCTCCCCTCCCTACCCCTACATTTCCCTCTCCTCAGCTCCTCCTCATCCTCAAACCCCGGACCTTAACCAGCTTCCCGCGGGGGAGTGCGTGCAGCACCCCATTTACTTCCGCCATCATCCATCCCCTCCCATCCCCTCCTTTCCTCTTCCCCCCTCCACCCCCCTCCCCCCCGCTCCCTCTGCCGCGCTTCCCCCGCCTTCCGCCTCCCCCCTTCTCCCCAATTCCTGCTCATGCGCCTGTATCCGGACCTCAACCCCCTCGTGCCTCCCTCTCCCCACCCCCCACCCCCCACCTCCCCCCATCCATCTCCCCGCCGGCTCCGCCTAATGCGCCTGTACCCGGACCTCCAAACCAGCTGTCCTCACTTACCCCCGACACCCCTTTCCGTCTTCCCCCTTCTCTCCCCCCTTTTTCGCCCCCAGCTCCTCCTAATGCGCCTGTACCCGGACCTTAACCAGCTTTCCGCGGGGGAGCGCGTGCAGCAGCGCGTGAAGCGCATGGGCGGCGACGTCCGGCAGCTAGTGGAGCAGCTGTGGGCGGAGGTGGAGGACATGGAGCGCACGCGCATGCAGACCCGGGCGGCACGGGCGGCAGGAACCGGGGGAGGAAGGAGCGGGGAAGCTTCCTCCGGGGTGGTTTCCTCTGGTGGTGGAGCGGGTAGTTCCGCCGTTACATCTCCAGTTACATATGCCGTTTCATCTTCCGACGCCAGAACTGTAACCCGCCCTGCGAAACCGAAGAGACCTGCCCCGCCCCTTGTTGCGCCGCCTGGCCACCCAGCGCGAGCCGCCGCCCAATCCCTCGCTGCTCCCCCCGGTGGAACTTCACAAACGGACAAAAGCACCCGCCCTGCTGCGGTCCCGGTTGTGATTCGGGCAGTACGACCGTCCCAGATGTATGGAGAGGGCGGGGTTAAAGACACGCTTCCCCCTGAATTCAGAGGGGTGGGTGCAATCATAGAACCAGTTAAAGTGCAGAGGAAGGGAGATGGGGGGAGAGTAGAAGCATCAGCATCAGCATCAGCATCGGCATCTGCATCTGAATTATCAACAACAGCACCAGCAGCACCATTGACCCCACCACCAAGACGACCAACACTGGCAGGGGCAGCAGGCGCTAAGGCAGGTGAACAGGTGAAAGGTGTAAGGGAGGAAACGGCGCAGCAGAAGGATGCGGAGAAGGAAGGGGAGAAAGAGAGAGAGGGGCAGACGAAGAAGAAGTTGGAGGAGGGAAGGGAGGAAGTTTTGCCGGCGTTACAGAGGCCAGTCGGGTCTGAGCGGTTTGTAAGTGTGGTAGAGGCAAGCGGGGAGTCTGATAAGGGCGTGAAAGTGAAGGCGAAGGTGCAAGAGAGGGAGGAAGTTCTGCCGTCGTTACAGAGGCCAGCGGGGTCTGGGCGGTTTGATAATGCTGCAGAGGCGAGCAAGGTCTCTTCTGACAAGGGCGTGCAAGGGGAGGCGATGGGAGGAAAGGCGAAGAAGGCGAAGAAGGGGAAGAAGGGGAACAAGGGGAAAGAGGAGAGGGAAGAGGTGATGCCCGTGTTGCAGAGGCCAGCAGGGTCCGTGCACGCGGTAGAGGCGAGCAGCACAGTGGTGGTTGAGAAGGGCGTGGAGGGGGAACGACCTGCAGAGAAGAAGAAGGACGAAAGGGAAGTCGTCCTGCCGGCGTTACAGAGACCAGTGGGGGGTTCAGGGGGGGCTGTGAGCGCTGACGAGGCCAGCAGGGTGCCTGTCAAGGGCACGACAGGGGAGACAATGGATGGGAAGACGAGGGAAATGGCGAAAGAGGAGGAGAGGGAGCAAGTCCTGCCGGCTTTACAGAGACCAGTGGGGGGTTCAGGGGAGGCTGTGAGCGCTGACGAGGCGAGCAGGGTGGAGGGGGAGACGATGGATGGGAAGACGAAGAAGAAAGAGAAGGAGAGAGAGCAAGTCTTGCCAGCGTTACAGAGACCAGTGGGGGGGAAGGTTATTGGGATTGCTGATGCAGGTCAAAGGACCAGCGAGGGCGCTGGAAAAGAGATTGCAGCAGCAGGAGTAGCAGAAGCAGCAGGAGCAGCAGAAGCAGCAGGAGCGGTAGCAGGAGCAGGAGGAGGAGGAGGAGGAGCAGCAGCGAAAGGAGAGGGTGAAGGAGAGACGATGGGCCCAGTGCAAAAGGCGGAAGTGAAGAAAGTGACTGTAACGAAGGCCCCTTCACGCCCACACAACGCTGCTGCTGCTGCTGCTGCCAACGTTGCTGCCAACGTTGCTGCCAACATTGCTGCCAGTGTTGCTGGTGATAGTGAAGATCCGGCAGCAGGGGAGTGGTCTGCCACGGTGCAGGAGGCAGTGCGGCGGGAAGAGGCGAGGGAGAGGAGGCAAGCAGCACTGCTGCAGTCGATGCCTGCACCTGCTGCCACCACCGCTACTGTTGCTGCTGTGGCTGCTGCAGACGCTGAACCTTTAGAGGTTGCAGAGAAACGGTACGCACAGCCCCTCCCCCCCCTCCCCTCCCCTCCCCTCCCCTCCCCTCCCCTCCCCTCCCCCCCCCCCTCCCCTCCCCTCCCCTCCCCTCCCCTCCCCTCCCCTCCCCTCCCCTCCCCTCCCCTCCCCTCCCCTCCCCTCCCCCGGCCTCTCTCCACCCGCACACCCCCACTTCCCTCCCAAGTTCTCCGAGTGCCAGAATGCAGCAAGGCAAGGCCTCCGTGAAACTCTTGTCAGAAGAGCACACAAGAGGACAGGTGGTGTTGTGGCGCCTCAAAAATCGTGCCAGAATGCACCAAGGCCTCCTTAAACCACCTGTCCTCCTCTGGCTTTTTTTTTTGTTTTGAGACGTCTCGTCACCCCGTCTGTCTTCTCTCCGTCGTCTCCCCTCTCCACCTGGATTTGTCAGTCGTAATCCGACCCCTTCCCCCCTCCCCCACCTTCCCACCCTCATTCTTTCCCCCACCGCTCCCCCAAGCCTGGGACCATCAGCAACCCCCAGGCTGTGACGCCTATCCCCAAGGGCCTTCCCCCCGTTGTCACCCCTCCGCCTGTCGACCTGCGCCGCACCCATCCTGATTTCTTTCGCCCTCCCTTCCCCCCCAAACCCTGTTCTTTCCACCACTCCAGGCCTTCCAAGCCTGGGACCACCAGCAACCCCCAGGCTGTGACGCCTATCCCCAAGGGCCTTCCCCCCGTCGTCACCCCGCCACCTGTCGACCTACCAGTCTCTCAGTCACTCACCCCTGTTCTCTCCCCCACTGCAGGCCTTCCAAGCCTCTGAACACCAGCACCCCCCAGGCTGTGACGCCTATCCCCAAGGGCCTTCCCCCAGTTGTCACCCCTCCACCTGTCGACCTGCGCCGCACCCGTCCCGACTCCCCCCGCCCGCCCCTCCCCCCCAAACCACGCCCTTTCCTCTCCTCGCCTGCCCCCGCCCCGCCTCCTGGTGCTGAAGCTGTTCCTGTCTTTGCTGATGCCGCTTCTGCTCCTGCTGCTCCCTCTGCGCCTGCTCCTCCTTCTGCTGCTCCTGCTGCTGCTGCTCCCACCACTGCAACTGCCTCTTCCGCTGCTGATGGTGCTGGTGCTGATACCACTTCACTAAGTGCTGCTGATTCCCATAGCAGTGATGATCTGCTAAAGGGCATTAAACTGTGGGGCCTCAATACTTCTCCTGAGGTAAGATGCACTTCTACCCTTTTGAATTGTGTTGGTCATTGCCTTTACCCCTCATTTTTATTATTTCTTCTCTTCTACCCCTTCATCATTCCACTCCGTTCACCAAATAATTCTGCATTCCCCAAATAGTTGTGCGTACACACACACACACAAAAAAAAAAAAAAAAAAAAAAAAAAAAAAAAAAAAAAAAAAAAAAAAAACACCCATCATTCATGTCTGCGTCCAATCCATACTCACCTTTCAAAATCATGTTCATGTTCATGTCTGTGCCACATGGCACATGGCAGGAGGAGAAGGTGATTCAGCAGGCAGAGAAGGAGCGCACAACAGTGCCAGCCAAGGTCGTCACCTGCAACCACGGCGGCCTCGTGGTAAGCTGCTTGCCCGCCTGCTTGCCCGCCTGCTTGCCCGCCTGCTTGCCCGCCTGCTTGCCCGCCTGCTTGCCCGCCTGCTTGCCCGCCTGCTTGCCTGCCTGCTTGCCCGCCTGCTTGCCCGCCTGCTTGCCCGCCTGCTTGCCCGCCTGCTTGCCCGCCTGCTTGCCCGCCTGCTTGCCCGCCTGCTTGCCCGCCTGCTTGCCCGCCTGCTTGCCCGCCTGCTTGCCCGCCTGCTTGCCCGCCTGCTTGCCCGCCTGCTTGCCCGCCTGCTTGCCCGCCTGCTTGCCCGCCTGCTTGCCCGCCTGCTTGCCCGCCTGCTTGCCCGCCTGCTTGCCCGCCTTCTTGCCCGCCTGCTTGCCCGCCTGCTTGCCTGCCTGCTTGCCCGCCTGCTTGCCCGCCTGCTTTCCTGCCTGCTTGCCCGCCTGCTTGCCCGCCTGCTTGCCCGCCTGCTTGCCCGCCTGCTTGCCCGCCTGCTTGCCCGCCTGCCTGCCCGCCTGCTTGCCTGCCTGCTTGCCTGCCTGCTTTGTTGTGAGTCTCGCTGCAGGCCTAGTTCCAGACCTTGCTTCAGGCAGTGAGGGAGCGAGCGCACAACAGTCATGGCCAAGGTTGTCACCTGCAACCATGGCGGCCTTGTGGTAAGCTGCTAGCCCGCTGCCTGCTAGCCCGCTGCCTGCTAGCCCTCTGCCTGCTAGCCCGCTGCCTGCTAGCCCGCTGCCTGCTTGCCCGCTGCCTGCTTGCCCGCTGCCTGCTTGCCTGTCAGCCTGCTTTCCTGTCAGCCTTGCTTCCACCCTTGCTTCAACCCTTGCGTCTCTCTCCCAATCACCCGCCCACCTTCTCCCTCCCATTCTCCCGCCCACCCCCCCCTCCTCTCTCCCATCTTCAGCTCTCACTCAACGGCATGCAAGCCCTCCTCCCAACTAACTAGCTACATGCACACGGAGCTGCGCTGATGTAGCTTCAAACCTAGCCTCAATCCCAACCTCCCACTCTCCTCTTCCTCCCTTTCTCCCCTCCGCTCTCTCCCCCCCATTCCTCCAGCTCTCCCTCAACGGAGTGCAAGCCTTCCTGCCTGCCAGCTACATGCACCCGGAGCTGCATAGCTGGAACTTCAAGCCTTGCTTCCGGCGTTGCTTCAATGTCCCAATCACCTGCCCACCTCCCCTTTCCCCCCACCCCTTATCTTCAGCTTTCACTCAACAGTGTGCAAGCCTTCCTCCCTGCCAGTTACATGCACCTGGAGCTGCACCGATGGAGCTTCAGACCAAGACTCACATTTTGAATAAATCCCCCCTCTCTATATCTGTCCTCCTTTTTCCCCGTTCTCCATTTCCCAGCTTTCACTCAACGGCGTACAAGCCTTCCTCCCAGCCAGCTACATGCACCCGGAGCTCCGCCGGTGGAGCTTCCGAGGCTGGCTCCGAGCCAACGGGCACGACCCGAACCTGTTTGGGGCGCGGGAGGAGAGTGGTGGGGGGGAGGGGGGAGGCAGGGGAGGGGAGAAATGGAAGGCATGGAACAAGGGGAAAGAAGGGAAAAAGGGGGAAGAGAAGGAAGAGGGGGGAGAAGAGGGGAGAATGGAAGGAGAGGGGGGAGAGGGAGAAGAGCGGGCAGTTGGAGGGGAGGGTGTGGAGACCTTGAGGGTTCAGCTGAGTGAGCAGTACACTCAGGAGAAACTCGCTCTCTTCTCGTCCTATGTGGGGGAGGTGAGACTTGCCCTCTTCTTGTCCTATGTGGGGGAGGTGAGACTTGCCCTCTTCTTGTCCTATGTGGGGGAGGTGAGACTTGCCCTCTTCTCGTCCTATGTGGGGGAGGTGAGACTTGCCCTCTTCTTGTCCTATGTGGGGGAGGTGAGACTTGCCCTCTTCTTGTCCTATGTGGGGGAGGTGAGACTTGCCCTCTTCTTGTCCTATGTGGGGGAAATTGCCCTCTTTTTTTGGAAATGATCATTATTCCCCTCCTCCTGTTTCCATCCTCCTCTCTTCCCTCCATCTCCCTCCCTCTCCTCTCCCTATCTCCTTACAGGAGGTGCGAGTGAGAGTTGAAAGGTGTGACTCGAAGACGCGCTCTGTCTTTGTGACACAAAGGGGGGCGGATCTGGAGGACGAGGAGAGGGTGGAGAGAAGGGAACAGCTGCAGGTGGGTTCCTGAACTGCAGGAGGAGTTTTGAGGCGTCTCAAAACACTTCTTCAATCAAGTGCGTGCAGGTCGTTGGAATTGGGAGGGAGCACAGTAGAAGCACCCTTGTGACACAAAGGGGAGCGGATCTGGAGGAGCAGGAGAGGGTGGAGCGGAGGGAGGGAGCAGGTGCAGGTGGGTCACTGTGATTTCTCTTAGAAATCAAAAGGAAAACTCAGATGCAACAAGCTGACTAGAAATTCGCCACATTCCAATGAGGCAGGTTTGGTCCTTAAAATTCTATAAGCCAGTGTGAGCCAGTGTGAGCTATTCACTTTCCCTGGCTCGTACTTACTTCCTTGCTCCCCTCTCACTGTCACGTCTGAAACGTCTGCTTCTTGCAATGGGTTAATCAGAGGTGACAAATCTTTGCTGAATTTAACAGTCAATATTGGGTTTGGTTCATTTCAAAGGCACGTCTCTTGCTCGTATCTCCCTCGTATCTCCTTCCACGTTACTCACTCAGTCTCTTCAACCACTCGTGTATGCATGCATGTATGTGTGTTGCTGTGCCCCTGCCTTCTCGCTTCCATCTGTGCATGTGCATGGCTGCATGGCATGGCTTCACCGCATGGCTGCATGGCATGGCATGGCATGGCATGGTATGGCATGGCCACATCAGCACCGGCTGGAAGCTGGGGATGTTGTAACGTCCACAGTGGTGTACATCGGTGACATGAACATGACCGTTCAGGTATGCTCTACATCGCAGATCATGGTTTTTTCTTATTATGTAGTGCATGTAAGCGTAGTTGTTGTAACGTCCACAGTGGTGTACATTGGAGACATGAACATGACCGTCCAGGTATGAGCGCATATGCATATTTGTTGCTTACAGTTTGCTGATACCCATATCAAAAAAGGCTTGATCTCTTTTTTTCTCTCTTTGTTTTTTCTTTATCTCGTTTCCTCATCCGCCCCTCTCCTCATTCTCCCTTACCCTCATCTGTGCCTTTCCTCATGTGCCCCTTTCTTTATCCCCTGTCTCCTGTGTGTGCCACGTGTCACACCCTCACAGGTGGACGGAGTCAACGTCATGATCCATTATGACAGTATCCGGCAGCTGAAGCAAGGACCAGTGGACACGTGGCCCTTCCCCATTGGCCATGTAGGTCCACACATCACACCTGTGTGCTTGCTTGCTTTCACATCAAGCACTTAACACATTCCTGAATGCTGAACTCGAAACCGTTAAACCTCTACACTTCAAGCATCAAACACTGAAAGCCCAAAACCCAAGCACAACCTCAAAGCCTTAAACCTTTCAACTCTAGCCTTCAAACCACACCAGTTCATCCCATTCACATCAGATGTTCACTTCCTATGAGGCGCCTCAAACGACGTCTTTTAAGGCGCTTCAAAATTCGTCCCAACCCGAAAGCCTTAAACCTTTCAACTCTAGCCCTTCAAGCCACACCAGTTCATCCCATTCGCATCAGATGCTCACTTCTCAATATGTGCTTGCCCATATGTTCACGCTCACATCATATGTATGTATGTGTAAACACAACTGGGCTGGGCTTAGGTCAGGGTTTAACGTTCAGGGTTCAACGGTCAGGGTTCAACGTTCAGGGTTTAGCCACAGCAGCGGCAGTGGCAGTGGCAGCAGCAGCGGCAGTGGCAGTGGCAGCAGCAGCGGCAGTGGCAGTGGCAGCAGCAGCGGCAGTAGCAGTGGCAGCAACAGCGGCAGTCTCTTCCCTCTCGTTTCGCTACCCTTCCTTCCTCGCCGCTCCTCCCCTCCGTCCCTCACACCTGCCAGTCCCTGCCGGTGCATGTGCTCTGCAGCAAGCCAGATGCAAGCGTTCGTATTTGAGGCACCTCAAAAATAGTCTCCCCCCTCCTCCGCTCCCTCTGTCTCCCCCCTCCTCCGCTCCCTCTGTCTCCCCCCTCCTCCGCTCCCTCTGTCTCCCCCCTCCTCCGCTCCCTCTGTCTCCCCCCTCCTCCGCTCCCTCTGTCTCCCCCCTCCTCCGCTCCCTCTGTCTCCCCCCTCCTCCGCTCCCTCTGTCTCCCCCCTCCTCCGCTCCCTCTCCTTCAAACCCCTCATGCACCGGCCAGTCTCTGCCAGTGCACGTGCTTCGCAGCAAGTCAGTCCAAAAGCGCCTGCTCGTTGCACTGGAGCCACCCTTTCCCAACCTCCCTTGTGTTTTTCCCCTCTCTCCCTTTCGTACCCTGCCCGCACCGGCCAGTCCCTGCCAGTGCATGTGCTTCGCAGAAAACCCGTCCAAAAGCGTCTTCTCATTGCTCTGCAGCCACCCTTTCCCGTCCTCATGCGTTCTTCCCCTCTCTTTCTTCCGTACCCTGCGCCCGCACACACCGGCCAGTCCCTGCCAGTGCATGTGCTTCGCAGCAAACCCGTCCAAAAGCGCCTGCTGGTTGCACTGGAGCCGCTGCAAGGGCAGCAGCCAGGGCAGGGGCAGGGGCAGCAGCCGGGGCAGGGGCAGGGGCAGGGGCAGCAGCCGGGGCAGGGGCAGGGGCAGGGGCAGCACCAACAGCAGAGGAAGCAGCGGCAGCAAATAAATTCTCCCACACTCTTTTTCTCCCTCCCCCCTGCACCCCACTCACCCCAGTCCCTGCCAGTGCACGTACTTCGCAGCTAGTCAATTCAAAAGCGCCTGCTCGTTGCACTGGAGCCACCCTTTCCCAACCTCCCTAATGTTTTTCCCCTCTTTCCACTCTGTACCCTGTGATTGCCCACACCCGCCAGTCCCTGCCAGTGCATGTGCTTCGCAGCAAGCCGGTTCAAAAGCGCCTGCTCGTTGCACTGGAGCTGCCACAACAGAAGCAGCAGGGGCAGCAGCAGCAGCAGAATCAGGGGCGGCAGCAGCAACAGCAGGGGCGGCAGCAGTGGCGGCGGCAGGAGGCGCATGAAGCTGCTGAGTCCGCTCCAAGCATGCCGCTTCAGTTTGAGGTGCGTTTAGTGCAGTGTGGTGCGGTGCAGATTGGTGCAGTGTAGTGCAGTGTGCACCTAGCACACTAGCTCAACAGTGATGCTACTTTTCCCTGCATATGATGCTACATATCTTCCTCCTCCCCTCCCACTGCACCTCTCCACAATCCCCTGAAAATCTCCTGACACGCTTGGGATACTCCCCTTAACAGGCAGCAGCTGAGCTGGAAGCAGTGGCAGCCAGTCTCAGAGAGACACCTGGCATAACGTCGGTGACTCTGGGGCGTGTGATTGGTGGAGGCGCCTTGGCTCCTGGATTTCAGGTATGAATTGCTGTCAGTCAGTTTTGATGGTTGTTGGTGTCCGGACCTGCCTGGTTTGAGGCGCGTTTTCAGTGTGATGTGCTTTTGAGGCGCCTCAAAAGTCGCTTTTAGTGTGATGGCACACAAAAACCCTTTGCCTTACATTTTTTTACATTTTTGGCATAGTTCATCCAGGAGATGCAAGAGTTGCATCTACCGTACTGAGCATAAAACTATACCTCATCCTCACTAATGTTTGTTCCACGCTTCTGAACTTAGTACCTTACCTGCACTTCACGTGTCTTTGAAATCGTTTTCACATATTTTGCTGGCGTCACAGTCAGACTCTGAATACAAGTTTGTAGTCCGTGCAGGGTGGAATAATGTTGTTCGTTCTCCCTTCCCTGCACATCACACTACACAATCCCTAATCTGCGCTCTCACAGATCTTCCTGGCATCACAGTCAGACTCAGATTACAAGCTTGTAGCACGTGCAGGGCTGACCATCCAAGAGGTAACGATCTTCCTTGACTAAAATTCCATGTTTCATGACGTAACTGTCTACCTTATTTATCCTTCGTCCGCTTGATGGTGGTGTGACTTGCTATTTTATTGGGTGGGCTGGGCACTTATTCATGTGTATATTTTGTTTCCTTTTTCTTTTTCTTTTTTCATCTGAGTATGCAGCTGCTAGTGGAATCGGACCTTGATAAGGAAGCAATCAGAGGTGCCATCCAACAAGCGATTGGGCAGTTGTGATTGACATATTTTGCAAAAAGGGGTCAGACTAATTTCAATTGTGGATATTGGGACAAAGCTTTGTGTGAATCACTTGATTTGTCATGCTCTCTCAAAGTCAACTATTAGTGCTCTGCTTGGGAATAGTGGAAATTATATTGGCTACCCTGGTGCAGTTTGCAATATTTCATATCATATTTTTATTGTATGCTTTCTTTTCACGTTTATTATACAATGTCACACCTCGTCCACCTGTTTCTCGATATTTGAGATCTGTTACGGGTGCAATGAATCGAAGTAGCGAGAAATGCACTAAGGTGTCAAACGAGTACAAAATGTGAGCGAAGGCATGAGCGAACATTTATACGTGAAACATGCAAACGGTAACGCGGTGCGTGCGAGCTAGCTAGTGCTACGCTAGAAGCGAGGCTCGGGCTAGTCCCGAAGCGTAGGCCGACACAGCCAGGCCAGCAGTGCGAGGTTTGGTGAAACAGTGCGCGCGAAGTCGGCGAAGCCCCGTTAGCAGTAACAGGCGAACAACGGCTGCTGCTGTACGCGATGTTGCAGGGCGCGCTAAGGAATATCGAGAAAATTCCTTACACTACCCCCCCCCCCCCCCCCCCCCCTCAAGAAGCCCCCTCCGCTACGTGAGTGCGTGTATATCGCGGAAGCCCCGGCTCCTCAGAGAATGGCGGCAGAGAGGTGTCGGTGCGCAGAAACAGCGACGCGTCGGCAAAAGAAGGAGCAAACCCAAGAGCCGCAAGTGTAGTCCTCAGTGTGTCGTGCCACTCACGTGGCGCCTGGCAGAGACCGTAGACTGGACGCCGGAATCTCCACTGGGTACCAGGAGGGAAAGACCCAGTGAAGCCAGGTGGGCGGCGCAGCCAGATCTCCTCGTGTAGGTTGCCATGTAAGAAAGCTGTGCTGAAGTCGAGAGAGTGCAGCTCGTAGTCACGGTGAGCAGCAACGTGCAGCACTACCCGAAGAGTGGTCATCTTCAGGGTGGGGGAGAAGGTCTGAAAGTAGTCAACTCCCTGCCGCTGACTGAAGCCACGAGCCACGTAACGCACCTTGAAGACAGGCGGAGAACCCGGCGGCCGCTTCACCCTGAAGATCCACATGCCACTGACGATGTTCGCCCCATAAAGGGGGACAGCCTCAACGTAGGTGCCTGTGGACTTCCAGGAAGCCATCTCTGCATCCGTAGCTGCCTGCCACTGAGAGGAGTAGGGACCCTCTATCGCCTCTGCGTAAGAGCGCGAAGTCAGGATGTCTAGTGCGTCCGGGTCTCCCTCAGAGGTAAGCAGTACGGACACGAGATGAGGTGAAGCAGCTGCCAGACACTCGAAATCCTCCTGCCTTTCCTCAAGGACGTCCGTGCCAAGGGCACACTCACCCCCGACGGACGGAGGACAGACAGACTCAGACTCAGCGACAAGACTAGCAGCGTAGTCTAAGCGACAGCGAGCAGCAAAGTCGACGAGCTCAGCTACAAGGGCAGACGCAGCAGTAGACTCGAAAGAAGGGTCAGTGACGACAGTAGCAAGGAGACGCGTGACGGTAGGACTGGCAGCACGAAGAGAGTCCGACTCCGGGTCGGCAAGAGTAGGAAAAAAGGACTCAGGAGTAGAAGGCAAAGGGGCACGCAGAGGAGCGGTGGATGGACGCAGAGATATCCTGTGCGTGCCAGGGACAGGAGGAGGACGCTGACGCGAACCACGACCACTAGTGCGAGCAGCACGGACAGGCGACGCACGGCGAGACGCAGGCTCACGACGCTCAGCAAGACCTCCAGTAGGACCAGTGTAGGGAGAAGGAGCAGGCAGTGGGGAGAACGGCTGTAACTGTAACTGCGACGGGACAGGCTGTGGACACTCTAAGGGAGGAGGAGGACCAGTAGAAGGCGAAAGACCAAGAACCTGCTGCAGGAGTGGAACGAAATACAGTCGAGGCCGCGCGGCGACACTAGACACAGCAGGGACAGCACCAGTACCCCCAGCAGGAGTACCCGCTCCAGCAGCACCTCCAGCAGCTCCAGAACCTCCAGCAACACCAGGAGTACCCCCAGCAGGACCGCCAGCAGTAGTCTCAACGCCAACACCCTCAGCAGCACCAGCTCTAGTCGAACCCGCAGGCCCAGCAGCTCCAATACTAACAGTACGAGCACCTCCGGGACCCGCGACAGCAGCACCCTCAGTAGCGGAAGAACCTCCAGCTTCAGCAGCACGGCTCCAGCGCCGGGCAAACCACTCGCGCAGCTCCTCTGGAGAGAGTGGCTCCCTGCGAGACGAAGTACTCGGAGAACCTCCAGGCGAAGCACCTCCAGGCTCAGCACCCCCAGGCAAAGCACCCCCAGGCGTAGCACCCCAAGCTTAGCACCCCCAGGCCCAGCACCCCCAAGCTCAGCACCCCCAGGCTCAGCATCCCCAGGCTCAGCACCCCCAGGCGTAGTACCCCCAGGCTCAGCACCCCCATGCCCAGCACCCCCAGGCTCAGCACCACCAGTCTCAGCACCCCCAGGCTCAGCACCCTCAGCAGCACCAGAGTCACCAGTGACCTCGACAGGCTCAACCGCGTCTACCTGAGACACACCTGAAGGGGCAGGACCCTGAGGGGGGAGGGGGTCTACCGAGGGGGGACCTGGTACAAGGAAGAGCGGTGGCGGGGGGAGGGACGGAGTGCGGTAGGGGAAGAGGCGGTAGTAGGGGACCGACTCGTCGAACATGATGTCCTGGGAGGACACAACACGGCGAGAGGTGGGGTGGTAGAACTGCCACCCAGGCGCGTCAGGGGGGAACCCCAGGAAGACGCAAGGAGCAGCACGAGGGGACAGCTTGTCCGCAGACAATTCGCGGACAAACGCCCGAGATCCCCAGACCCGGAACGCCGACGCATCGCCAACCTTCCCCGTCCACAGCAAGGCAGGGGAGGTCTCTGGTCTGGAGACCCTGGGGTGAAGGTTGATCTGATGCGCCGCGTACCTGACCGCAAACGGCCACAGAAAATGGGGGGCAGCCGCATGCATCATAGACGTACGAGCAACGTCCATGACCATGCCAATGCGGCGCTCAGCAATCCCATTTTGCTGCGGAGAGTCCGGAAGCGGGAAGGTCTGACGGATGCCTCGTGCACGACAGTAGGCTCGCAGAAGGCCATATGAGAACTCTCTGCCTCTGTCCGAGTGCAGACGCAGAACAGGAAAGTCCGAGCCAAGGCTCTGCCTGAGCTGGAGAAGAGCTGCGCGGATCCAGCCGATCAGCACCTTAGTGACATCACCCTTGCTGCGCAAGGGGAAGACTGCGGTGTAACGCGAGTAGTCGTCAACAACGAGCAGGAAGGAGCGCTCGTGACCCTGCCCACGGACGCGGGCTGGGCCCCACACGTCCATGTGAAGCGTCTGCAGTGGGGCCTCTGTCGAAGGAAACTGGGAGGAGTGAGGGGCAGCACGCTGGCGCCCCTCGACACAGGGAACACAGGTAGGGCCAGGGCCCTGAGGAAGGGGAGGGAGGGACCGGGGGAGACCAGACACAAGAAGACGGGAGGCCATGCCTCTGAGCCGAAGCAGAGAGGGGTGACCAAGACGGTGGTGCCAGAGGAGAGTCTCGTGAGACAAGAGACGACACGAACAGGGGGCAGACTCAGGACCAGACCTGGACGCTGCAGCAAACACTTGACCCGATGAAGCGACTCTACCAGACTCAGTATCGGGAGGAGACGCAGTGGTCAGTGTGTACAGGCTCGACCCTGGCTGACGGGTAAACGTAGCCAGGTGCGGGCCTGTGCTAGCCTCTGTACAGTGCGTCACCCGGTGACGCGCATGAGTGAACTGGTGGAAACCCGCATCCTGTAGGTCAGCACCACTCACCAGGTTTGTAGAGAACGAGGGGAGATAGAGACCAAACAGGGTGCCAGAGGGAGCCGCCGGACACGGGAGGACTGTGGAGAAGCGAGACAGGACAGAGACACCGCAACCGGCCAACTCAGCGGTGTGAGTGTGGTGCGGTCCCGAAAGAAGGAGCGAGACGCCCCAGAGTCAAGGGTGAAGGTGAGGGAGGCCGAAGTCGGCGTAGTACCTGAGAGCGCAGACTCACCAGTACCTGAGGACGCAGACACACTAGCACCTAGAGCAGCAGCGTTGCAAGCACCTAGGGCAGCAGCCTCACCAGTACCTAGAGCAGCAGTCTCAATGCCCGGATCGGGCGGGAAACACCGGTAACAGTCACCCTCATCACTAATAGACACAGCATATATGGCAGAGAGAATAGCATCAAAGTCAAGATCATAGATGGCAACACCCGCCCTAGACAGCTCGCCCTAGCGAGGGATCTCTGAGGCCTCCGGGAACTGGTGACGCCACGCGTCCGTCAGGCGGCCAAAGCAGCGTTGGGTGGGGTGGGCTCCCCCACACTGCTCACCCGCACGGTAGCCGGTGCGCAAAACGTAGGAGCACGGACCAAAACCCCCACCCCGCTGGCGCGCAGTGTACCACTCACGAAGCTGCTGAGGGGAGAGGGTCTCACGACCGCGCTGCTGATGCTGGCGCGAGCCACCACCGGAGCCACTCCTCTGCGAAGACCCGCGACCAGCACCACCCCCACCCCCACCGCCTCCGCCGCCTCCGCCGCCTCTGCTGCTGCCGCCACCTCCGCCTCCGCCTCCACCGCCGCCACCTCCGCTCCCACCGCCACCGTCGCCGCCACCTCCGCCTCCACTGCCGCCACCGGCCCCTCCACCCCCACCTCCACTCCCACCGCCACCCCCACTCCCCCCACCGCCGCCACCTCCTCCTCCACCGCCCCCGCTCGCTCCTCCAGCGCCCTTGCCCCCTTTGCCCTTGCCAGGGCGGCGTCTCCCGCTAGGGGCAGACGCCGCACCGACGGACTCAAGACCAAGGAGGTCGGCCGCAGCAGCAGAGGCAATAGAGGGCAGAAGGGGGGAGGGGGAACACCCCTCAAAGATGGGGGTGCGCGGGTCACCTCGAGAGGCTCCTACAGCGACTATGCTCTTCTCTATCGCTAGGA